GTCGGTCTGTGTGCGTACTGTCTACTGTGTACTTGGCATGTTGTGCGAGTATGTATGTAACTAGTGAGACGACTCGAGATTGGTTCGAGATTGGGGCAGAGCGAGTGGGAGACTTTTCGGCGGGCGAAATGCGGCGGTTTGGATGCGTCCCCTTTGGGACGACCTGTTGGTACGACCTGTGGGACGACCTGTGGCAGCGACCGATGCCGTCACCGGACGCGGCGGCGAGGCACACGGGCGCCGGCGTGGCGCGTCGGCAGGCCCACCACGAGCGGATGCGCGACGAGCGCGCTCGGGAAGCGGCCGCGGGCGACGCGGAGCTTCCGCCGGAGGACGACGCGGTCGAGATGGCGAGCGCCGCCCAGCTGCTGGACAGCGTGGCGGAGGTGGGCCCGAACTACACCCTGCTGCGCAGCAAGGAGACGAAGGCGAAGCGGCGGAAGCGACAGCGCGAGGATGCCAGGGCGGCGCTCGACGGCCACACTGTCCTGTCCACCGGATCGCGCCTCGAGATCTTCTGCGACAGTGTATGGGACAAAAGCGTCGAAAATGTCCCAAAAAGCGTGTCTCGAGTTTGTTGCAGCCCCACAGCTGGCGCGCGCTGCCAGGAAGCACCGCTCGCGTGTCGGCGGCACTCCCTGGCACCCAGGGAGTGCCGCGAACCGACCAGACCGAATGGGCTCGACGCCGCGCTCGCTGTGGGGCTGCAACAAAGTCGCCGCCGAGCGTGCCACCGACGGCGTCCCGGCGGCGGTGATGGAGTGTGAGACCTGAGGCTGCGGAGGTGACGCCTGAGGTACCGGCCCGTGCACAGCGACTCAGCCGGCGACCGCCACGGGCTCAGACGAGACTTGTCGACTCGTTACGGCTCAGCTTCACCGTGGTCATCGGGCGTCTGTCGACGTCAGGACCACCCATACAGCTCGCGGGTGTGAGGTCGCAAGAGCCAAGATGGTGGCGTTTGGACATCCCAACCATCACACAAGACAGCCTGTAGGTGATGGCGGGACGGCGCAGTGTTTGTGGCACTCGGCAGTAGGCACCCGCGGCACGGCCCCGCTGTCGGCTCTCACGGGCTGCGGAACCGGCCCCAGAGGGAGCCGGTCCGGGCGAGTGTGGCAGCTCCTGCGCTAGTATGGGCACCCTCTATCATAGCACTACTGATCCGGGTCATTAGAGCTGCCAGGGATAGCGTCAGGAGCCGGTAGGAGTCAAAACCTCTCATATTTGAGACATCGTGTCCCATATACTCGCACAACGAGCCACTTTACTGACTCAGTAGTAGTGTGTGTGTTTGACTGTGTGTAAGTACTACAACAACATGTATGCATGCACATGCACATGCACATGCACATGCACATGCACATGCACATGCACATGCACATGCACATGCACATGTGTCTCTTGTGCATGTCATGTGCATGTGCATGTGCATGTGCATGTGCATGTGCATGTTGTATGTATGATGTAAGTGGGGGTCTAGGTGTGTGTCCTAACTCACTACGTGTAGCTACCTAGGAGATTATCTGACTCGCGGGCTCGACTCTCACGAGCGACCGCACGCACATTGCCCGGTGGGGGCGTCGAAGAAGCGCTCATACTCGGTGTTGAGGTAGGCGCTGCAAACTTGCCTGTAGTTTTTAACCGCGCTGCACAGATGGTCTGGGGTCGCCTTCAGCAGCCTTGTGGCGGGCGGTGCAAGACCAGCGGTCTGCAACTCGAGAAAATTGGCCACGGCGGTCATGGTGCGCTCGGTGTCGCCGAGCAAGTCCTCGTAATCAATGTGCAACACTGCTACTCCCTCCAAGGCCTCGAGCAGCCGCGTTGAGAGCCGGTGGGAGCGTTCCACCGCGCGGAGCGCCTGAAGCTACAAGACGCCCAAGTAAGACCAGAGGGAGGTGCTGCCGTTCCCACGGCACGCGCCGCCTGGCGAAAACGGTCTAGATGCACGTGCACGCT